CCCCCCCCCCCCCCCAAAACAGTTCTACTCCATAAATCTTTCTACTAAGGAGGTTTTTCAATCTTTAAAAAAATCTTAAATTTTTAAGGTGTAACTTTTGTTTTAAAAAAACCCAGCTATGGACAACATAAAACCACAGCAGTAAGGAATTAAAGCTTTTAACATACCTTTGTAATTAACTTATCATTCTTTACAAACATTTTTCGTCCAAAAATTTACCTTACCAATTCAAAAGAGGGAAGATATACAATGATAAATGCTGACCATGAAAAAATAATTAGTTAAAATAGGTAGCAAGTATTATATTAGTTAAAAACTTGCTAAATATAATTCCAGTAACTCAATCAAATAGACTATTATTTTCTTGACTTTTTGGTATTTCTGTGTTTATCTCAGCAAAGTTGATTTGCATTCATGAATATGCACTTGAGGCTTTTAAATAGACCCACCTTTTTGTTAAAGCACCTCTTTCAATAGCTTAACACCGTTTTCCCAAAACTCTGTATTGTGCTGACAAGATTGAGTTCCATCTCAGTTAAAAAAAAAAATTCTATGCTGTAAATTATCAGAAGTCATTTTTCCTAAGGGTGAGGGTGTAACGTGTATCTATAGGTAAACCTTTTAATTGCCTAGGAAAGAAATGGAAAGGGAAAACTATGCAAAGAGCTTCAATTTCATTCTTGGTGGGGAAAAAAATCTAGTGACTATAGTTCATGACTAGATATTATAGTTATTGCAAAATGATGCTTTTGCTTAAAGTTTTCAGAGGCAGACTGTGTCCACAATCTGGGTCTCTGATTGTATGGTAAGGTATACTATTGAATGGTACAATCCATTATTCTATCTGGGCGGGGTTGCAACCTGTAACAGAACAGAAGTTCAGTGCACATAAATCAGACTTTCAAAATGGCTGAAAGTGGTTTAAGATAAACCTGGCTGAATGTAATATCAGACTTAACTGATTGGGGTCAAACCAGTTGATGAAACTTCTGTCCCAGACCCCTTCCTGGTTCAAGTTAATCGCCCTGTGCTGTGCTGTCTGCTTCAGCAGAGAAGGGTTGTGGGGGGGAGGGACTGCCCCCCTCTCCTCCAGCAAACCCCAGCTGGGGTCTGAGGCCAGGGAGAGGGAGATTAAACCCCACTTTCCATGAGTACAGAACTGCCCCGGCCCTGCTCAACTTACTGTTGGCTACAACTGTGAACTACAAATCCCAGAGGCACCTGGCAGCAGGAAGAGAAAGTGATGAGCAACCCTCCAGTGTACTGCTGTTGTGATTCTGGACTGCAAATCACAGAGACCTCATGGGCAGCAGGAAGAGGAAGGAAAAAAACCAGCCCATACCTTCTCCCAGCTTCTGGTCTCAGTCACTGCAGGTGTGTGGCTGTTCACTTGTTAGTTAGTTTAATTTCTGCAGTTTAGACTAATTTGGAAAGACTGAATTGATTCAGCCTCAGGCTTTTTGACAATCAGTACTTAGCCATAAACCAGTATAAGTGATCAGAAACTGGTTCAAATCTGTAACACAACAGAAGTTTAGTGCACACAATTTGCTTTCAAAATGGCTGAAACCAGTTTAAGATAAGCCTGGATGGATATAGTATCACACTTAACCGATTTAGGTTAAATCAGTTTATTGAACTGCTGTCCCAGATCCAGGGCTTTCCCGGGGGGGGGGGGTTTGGGGCAACTGCCCTGGGTCCCACAGAACCGGGTGGAGCAGCCGTAACAACTCCATGCTGCTGCCAGCTTCATGCCTGGCTGCTCGGACCCCCTCCCCCCTGAATCTGTCACTGGCTTCCTCATGTCTGGAGGCAGGGCCCTGTACCCTGCTTGGGCTGCCTCTGCCCAGATCCCCTCTGGATTCAAGTTAACTCACGGTCTCCCAGCATCCCAGGATGCTTTGCATTTCCCCCACAAACCCTTCCTTGTAGAGTCTGTGAGCTAGAATTGGCCCAAGCTGTCTACTCCAGCCAAGCAGGGAAGTGTACTGTAGCACCTCCTGGCTTCTGGTCTAGGCCACTGCAGACATGTGGCTGTACTTCCAGAATCAAAAGTGAGTATCTGTTCACTTGCCTATCAATTCAATTGATGCATTGTAGACTAACTTGCAGAGATTGAATTGATTCAGACTCGGGCTTTTTGACTCCCTGTACATAGCCCTGGAGTCAGATGTTTTAATAGTACTGGGATTTGGGACAGGCTGGAAACTACTATGCTCCCTTATCTTTTTTTTGGAAGGAAAAAGGCAAAAGAAACAGCAGCAAAGCATCTACCTGCAGGTTTTGAAGGGAAAACGTTGTCTTATTTTTCCGTCACCCAGCAGCATATAACCCTGGAGAGACACCCTAGCACATAATTTAGTACTGATAAAGCTATGTATTATATTGCATGGACTTTGGTCTTTTTCAGGTTGGTTAGTCTGTACATTTTAGAGAGTGATAACAGCAATCATAATATTGTATGCGTTTACATATATAAATAAGTATTAACTGTTGAATTCAAGATTAAATTTGAAATGTGAGTGTTTGTTTTCCATCCTATTGGGATGACCAGGGAGCACATTTTATGTCATACATCTGTAGGAATCTTTTCCTAGCTTTTATGTGCACATAAATAATGGTGTTAAACATGTATATTTTAAAGATTAGATCCTGGTAAATAAAAAAAGTATTTCCAAAAATAAACAAGATAGGTGAAATATTTTTGTATCTTACTCATTTTTAATCACTGAGATTATGGTTTTTATCCTTTTTTACCTTAATCATAATAATATACTTCAATGAATGACAAAATCTAAGTTAATATTTAGCTAAGTACTTCAAGAAGAAAACCTGAATTCATACTAATGGTATTATATAGTCTATTTGTACCACATTTGCTCTTTTGCTAAATATATACATTTGGCTCTTTTTTGCCAATGATATATATTTATATTTGGCAAAACACAAGAACAAATGTGGTCCAAATAGACTAGAAGATGGTATACATGCAGGTTACACACAGATATACATACACATCCCGATTTTGCCCATTAATCTAAAACGGGTTGGCAACCTGCTGCCCATGGGCCACATCTGGCTTGTGGAACATTTTGATCCATCCTGGAGACCTGGGGCTTTGGTGATATTTGGCTGCAAGGGACACCTGTAAGCATTTATTCTGCTGAGGGGACAAGCAGTATCGGTAGGGTCCTAGCACCTGCCAGTCCCTCTCCAATCTGGGGTGGGTCCTTCCAGGGTGCAGCTGGAAAAGATTACTTACCACTAATATAAATCCAATTTTTCTTCCTGAAGTACTTAGTTTCTGCTCCAATTTTGTAATTAGCTGTGATTATATAAATTTTTGCAGTTCTTTTAAAACTATAGCTAGTTCTACAAAAATACTACAGCAAACCAAAGTGAACTTTCCACATTCTGTGTGTGGAAATATACATATATATGGCAAAAGAGCAGATGTGGTCCAAATAGACTGGAAGATGTTATATATGTGTATACACACACATCCTGATTTTTCCTATATATATATATCTATATCTATATCTATATCTATATACATCTCGAGATATATTTGTAATAAACCATAAAGCTCAACTGGATTCTCAACAACCTGCGTACATGCAATCATCATCTTCCTTCACAGGAGGTCAGAAAAATAAACAAACTCAACTCATCTTCTAGCACTGTCTGTTCTCCCATAAATAATACCAAATGTTCTTCTGTAAATTTGTGTTTATGTATTTATAGAATTTAATACCATGTATTTAATTTGACTTGTAAACACAATATTCATTAAGAAATATAACTTATAGCTCTCTGGTAATTCTAGACATTACAGAAGACCTTAATTCTCAGTTTTAAAAAAATCTGATCTCCTGGAAATTTGTTCTTTTATTTGCCCTTTAAAATTGTTTCTCACCCAAGTCCCCCCCCCTTGAACCTTTTCCTTGCCCTCTCTTTGGGTTATGGAATGATTATCTGGCAGTTCTAAGTTCCTGACTGCTCACTGATGATAGTTTTGACTGAAAAACCTGACCCTCTAGCTTTGTTTCATTTCAGCATGCTGACATTCTCGTTGTATTCATGATCTGCAATTTAATTCAAGTGCACTTAAGTTCTAGCAAACACATACCTGCCAAGAACACTATGCTGTGTATTAGGCTCCATTTGAGGAAGAAGAGATGGGTAAATATCACTGCTGCAGCAAGCATGAGAGGATAACCTGCCCACACATACGCCATCCCAATTAGCCAAGGCAAAAAAAAGCTTCTACTCCCTGATGATTTGAAGGAAGTCTTCCTTATACTCCTTATGATCCAACCTGGTCTGAATCCTCTGTACAGTGTTGCAGGAAGAACACTATTTATACAGCTAAAAATATAATCATTTAAAGAAAATGAAACATATTGAATGCTCTAACTGAACACATAAGTTGTACACAGCAGGATTTTTTGTGACTATGAACAGTACACGTTCAGCTGATTTCTCTCTTCATTTTCAAGGGTACAAGGTTCTAGGTAGCAATGAAAAATGTAAAGGGGGAACCTACCATTTATTTAGAACACATGAAAAAGGAACCAAGTAATTTTGCTCAAACTGGTGGTGGTGGTGGTATTGAAAAGACCACTCACTACAAGGCAGTATAGTGGCATCACAGACCACTGCCTTTTTTTTTTCTTTTTTTTTTTTGCAACTGCAGCCTTGAACTTGAAATGAGCCTAAAACTAAATGCAAATTGAGCAAAAATAGTAACAGCACACACTGCACGTGTCATTCAAACACATGGGTGGAGCCAAGTTCATGGATACTGTAAAAGGTTTTTTTCTTTATTATTATTATTGCTACTGTTAAATGAGTCCATCAATGAAAGTAATCACAATTCACATACAAGACTCTACACTTTTCAAATTAAGGAATTTTCATTTTAAAGTAGACATGCATTTATTTAACCAAAGGATAGCATCACTGATTTGTCTTAGCTTACTGCAGATCTCTGAAATATAGTCTTTACTGCTTTCCAAAAAACACAAGAAAGCAGTCAAGACAATAAAGTAATTGAATTCAAAGTCTCAAACAAGGGGAAAGAACCAGAAGTAGACAAAAAATTAAAAGAATGAGGCCCATTTAATAGAAACATTAAATTGGAGATAACTTAATTATATGCAGAGATTATGCCTTATTTTAATACAAATACAGCTTTTAACAAAAGATAAAATGCTGTGCCTCTACACTCGACAGCATTTCAATTCAAATGATCCCCATAATTTCAAAATTTGCTTTATTTTAGGAGTAACAGTATTTCTATATTTTACAATGCACTAGATTAGAAAATCTAGAAAGTAATAAGAAGCGTGCATAATATACATAACTCTTTAATACTATTAGTATTCCCCTTCCCCTCCCCTTACAATACAACTTTGTGACTAACTTCAACAGACCACCTCTGCGTATAGACTTATTTCTACATTCTGCTCCAGGCTAAACATTCTTCTGTGTATACACTAGTAAATTCAACAGCCTCTTTAACATCTGAGAACGAATTACTGACAAGTCATTTTTTGCTCCATATTGCAAGTCAACGTGGCAACCCTGTTTTTTTTCTATTATAAACATGTACTGTACCTCAGCTCAGAGTCATTTGGATGCTGATACAAGATTCATAATGGCTGTCAGAATCTGCAATTTTTCCTTTTGTTTTATGAGGTCAGGCAATATTACCTGCACTGATATATTCCATTTTCCCAGCTGAAAACCTTCTCATTTGAGCACGACAGGTTGAGGGAGTCATGATTTTGCAACCTAGCATGTGAAACACAGTATGAGGGGGCAGGTGGCTAACCCCACATTCTCCTTTTGCTCTTGTCCACTGGCAACAGTAAATTAAACTGTCAAAAATGGAATTGTCCTGTCATCAACAAAGCTATAGCTTCGCAAGTATTGCAACATCAGATATATTTCTAATTCTGCATTTCCCTGCACCTGTAATTTCATCAGAAACTCGCACTGGACCATGGTGAGAAGCTGTCCAAGGGACACTGGCATTGTGAATTCCTTTGGAGGTTTGACATGGCATTTCAAAGACAGAAATTAATGAACAATACCAGCAATTTGTTATATATAAAAAAAGTGTTCAGTACGAGGTCCTGACCCTCAGCACAGCTTTGAACCCCACTAAAAGGGTAGAAATGCTAACGTGGATATGACACAGGATACAAAACAGGAACACAGGATAACACTAAAAAAGAAATGGTGCACAAGTAGCTGCAATGAAAGATAAAACCATATAAACTATTTGACATCTATTAATTTATAGATTAAATGGGCATTTTATTTTGTAAAGATTACTTCTTTTCCTTTTAACTATTTAATAAACATGGAGATGAAAATGTTTTATATATTCTACTCCTAAACACATGAAACAATTAAGTTTAGTATGACCAGCATTTATTTGAAAGTCAAGCAAGGCCATTTTATTT